TTGAGATTGTGTAAAATTTTAAGGGTGTCCGAAAACTTTTTTCCACCACTGTAATGTTCTGATGAAAATGCATGTGTTTGAGAAGTACTGAGCATAAGACTGAATAAAGGAGACTTGGATTTAACTTCATGAGTAAGGTGAGAGTTTGGGAGGTACTGAGCATACAACTGGATAAATGAGACTTTGATCATACTGCACGAGATGTATGAGAGTTGGTAAACAGATATTTTAATATACATTTGCTGTTGTTAAACCCCCATTACTTCAGTTCATTTAAAATGCTCTCAGACAGTGTAATACTGTCTGAGCAATTGATAAAGAAATGGTCATTGGGGGGGTGAAGTATTCCTTTAATATATAGCTATTTCCTTTCATTCAATATTTCTTATTCTTATGAACAAGCATATTAAGGTGGATTATGTGTCCAGCTTTATTTCAGTGATGATATGATGTGGATGGCAATATGTGAGCAGCTGCATACGCCCCTGATGTGTTTTTCTGCTCAACACCACCACTCTGTATGTACAAAGTGTAAAGTTGATGTTTCATATGAGTAAAGAGTAAACCTACCAGGTTTACAGGGAATACAGACACCATCAGGTCCCCTAATGAGCTCCATGGTCTCCTCATCAACCCGCACCAGTCTGATGGGGTAGATGAACGGTAGAATCTGACTGTTGAAGCCACACGCTCCAACCTAGAGCACAGACAAAAATATATTACCAACCACAAAGCTTTCAGCGTGGTCAGAGCATAATCACTACTTTGCTGCACCTTCACACCTTGTTATCGAAGTTGCCGAGACTGCAGTTGCACTCTGTGGCTCCGTAGAACTCTGCTATCTGTGGGATGTTGAAACGCTTCATGAACTCCTCCCATATGGACTGGCGCAGGCCGTTGCCCAGTGCCATGCGCACCCGATGTTGCTTCTCTGTGTCCTTAACTGGCTGGTTCAGCAGGTATCTGCAGATCTCACCAATGTACTGCACAATCTGGATGGTCGTGACAAAAATTCATTTAGAGATGAGACAGGATATAAGAACAGACTAATTACTGATTTAATACCAAGCTTATTATAATGGAAAGGGGATTCAAAGAGATTAACTGTGGATAGCATAACACAGATTATTTTTTAAAAGAAGAGACGGGAAAGACATCTTTTGAACAACACTGAAATTGTGGTGAACTGCTATGCACACCAGATCAATGGCTTGTAATATACATCATACTTACAGTGCAGTTGTATTTGGCACAGTCATCCCAGAAACGCGAGGCGGAGAACTTCTTTCTGATGACTACAGTCATGCCATGTATGATACACTGGCCCACTCCCACAATGTTACCTGTGGACAAAGACATATGGATTGTTGTGGTCACAGAATGCAAGCTCAACATGGACACATACAAAGACAAAGAATTTAAAGCAACAACATGCAACCTGTCACCATTTTCTGTTAGCAGGAGAAGTCAACAACACTGGGCCTCATTCACCAAGTTTTTCTTAAATTTGTTTGAAAGAAAGGTCTTAAGAAAGGTCTGCGTCAGATTCATGACATGTTCTTAAACCACAGAATTGTTTGAGCCTGTGTTCTTACATAAACAAAACCTATTGCTTGCAAGTTGAAAGTACAGGCCAGCTGATCCTAATTAGCATCAGTAAATACAACACAAATAATGACACGAGCCTGTTTAAAAAAAAAAACAAAACCTGAAGTAGTTATGAAGTGGAGAAGCTTCTGCAGAAAGTGAACACCAAGCGAGCTGTCATATTCAGTAGCGTCAGTAGTGGATATAAAATAACACAAAAAAATGCATGGGATGCTAAAAATATGCACCTTCAACCACTCGGCCGCAAACTTTAGATATAGTTGCACAATTCTCAGAACTGAGAGCAGAGACGAGAGCCGCAGCACTCTCCAAGGTGTGCCTGTGTCTGCAAGAGCGAGAGACAGATAGCGGGGCAGAGAAGGTGGAAGGTGACTATTTGACGCAATGCTTCTGTAACTCACTTGGAATGCTGCTTTTTGTCTAGTCTCTATATACAGACTCTACATTCAGTGTGTGTGAATGTAGAATCTGTAGGCAAACCCTGGAGATCTTGCCTCCGGAAGAAGAGCGGAAGAGCCCTGGTTTCCGGTTGTAGGCTGTTTGTAGTCCGCGTGATATTGAC